TAAAATTAAACTCGTTGCTTTTTTATGTTTCAGTCATTGTTTCCCCGATAAAATAAAAAAGTGCTGAAGTCTGGTAACGAATCCGACAGAAATAGCACTATAATAATATTACAACCTAATATCAAATGAATAAAATGTTGTATTCAAAGTATCCCAATTTTTTTCATATTTTTTGTGTTGCAGTAGGTTTCTGTTTAAGACAGACAATTTATTCAGAGCTGTTAAAATATTTTCAGAACGAGTTAAGAAACAGCGTCTCAGATGAACGCTTTCCAGTTTTGGCTTTTGGTCATTCTCTAATTCTTACTTTGTGATATATAGACAAACATAACTTAATAAGAGTGAGATAATTATTTATAAAGGGTCGTTAGATCTATCAGTGAATGAAGCGAAGCCACAAGAAATTGTCATTCGAGAGAACTTTATATAGGAAGGTGACTATTTGAAGACATACCACTTCAAGTTAATTTATTTATAACATTATACAAACTAATATACATATTTTTTAGATGCCTGCAACGTGTGTTTATTTTATACAAATATCGAGGCAGTGATTCTTGGGCTTACTCGAAGGCATTTTGTATACCTGTCATGCCATAATCGGACGTCAAATGCTGCAAAAATTATTGTAGTTAAATAATGATTCCCGTTGAAAAGTTGTTGAAATTCTGAATCTTTCGAGTTGTTAACATTGACATCGATACGCAGACATTAATTTGCAAAATAAATTAAATAAATGTTGTTTTCGCCCGAGTCAAGGAAAACATATGAGCAGAGCATGTTCGATTGGGGCACAATGTCTACAAGTCTTAGCAATTAGCTGTAGTTCCCATAATCAATTAGATGTTGGCTGACAGCATGACTAACATTGTGGAAGCCAATACGAGGCGAAATCTGAGCTAGCGCTCAAACTTTGTTAGCTCGGAAGTCAGTCACACCTGAAGCTGAGACGACAGGCCGTAGGATGGGGAGCTGCGACCTAGAAGGGGAGTTGACTGCCGCAGGCACACGACCGTAAAAAGTTTCGCTTGGCATTCGTGCCGCACCTCTCTCGTTTTCATGGAGCTGGCATCGTGCCACAGCTGCGACAAGAGGTAAAGTTGCTTCGCTTCAAGGGTCGCTTCGCTGGTCTTGGATTACGGCGCGGCAGCACGCACTTAAAATCCAAATTAAATATTTCCGCATGAAACAAAAATCTTACAACTGATTTAATAAACCCGCGTCGAACGCCAGCTCGGCTTCCAGCCGAATGGCTGCAGGGCAAGTCAAAAGGCGGCGCGCGTGAAATGCCACAAGTATATGAATGCGAATGCTCGGCTTGTGTGTTTGTTTAATTGTCAGGCCAGAAGACACACGTTTGGCATGTTTGGTAATTACGGCTGCTCCTGCTGAACATTCGCAGATGCGGTGAAAGCGCTTTTAGCATTAAAGAAGAACTCCAGCCACGTCGCTGGCATAATTGTGCTGTTAGTTGCTGGCAGCCCCCTCCGCAGCTGTAAAAACTTTCTCCTAGACAAAAAGTCATTTGACTGTCCGTTGCGCGGATGGCAACAGTACCCAGCTGGCAGCTGCACACCTCAAGTATGTCTCCTGGCTTTGCCTGTTCCATGCACGGATTCAGCTGCTCGCATTCAGATTTCAACTCGCATTGCAACTCCAACTTTACCTGACTGCCTGACTGGCTGACTGGCTGCCTAGCTGCCTGGCCCGGGGCAGGGCAAATGACAATGAGGCGAATGCCGCAGAAGCGAAGATGAAAATGTTGTCCTTTGCCTTAGCTAGCTAGCTAGCCTCGCCCCGCGTCTCCCGCATCGCCCACATCCGATTTCCCGTTGCCTCATTGCCTGCAGTTACAACTTGCTCGTGCAGCGACAAGTTGCTCGTCCCGGCCAGGGCGGAATGAAAATCATTTGCACGGTAAAACGTTTTTCGGTAAACTTGACTTGACTTAGATTGTGGAATATAAAATAAAATTACCAACAAATTGAAAATTGCATCCTGCGTGAGCTGGCAAGGGTTCCTGCCAACTAAGCGCCTCCTCCCCCGCCGCCCGCTCAACGTCGCTGCACGAAAAACTTTTCCATTTTATACCCAAGGATTATTCAATGAATATAAAATCTTGCAAAATTACACATATACCCCCATGTAGAAAGTAACTATAAGTTGTGGTCGTGATGTTCCAGCGGTCGTGCCAGGGGTTATGACTGTGGCTGTCTGTCTCCTCAGATGTGTGTGTGCGTGTGGGAGTTTGTGTGTGTGTGGGTATGTCTGTATTTGTAGGTTTGGCAACTTTGTGCACTGCAAGAAATTGCAAGTTAACTTAATTGCACTTAACTAGACAAATTACTAAAATAGAACCTATTGTGGCTCCAAAAGTAGAAGAGTAAGTAATTCGAGTCTGTTCGCCAGTGAACACGTTTTCACCTCAATTAATAGAGGGCAACTACTGTGATCAGAGGAGTAAACTGCAAGTAGCTGTGCTGGGAATAGAAATCGGAGCTTGGTTTCTTAAATGAGTCAGGTTGTGAGTCTTTTTATATTGTCTTATGCATATTTCATTTGATTTAGTCTTTTGCTTAGACGAATTTTATTGATGTATTCCTCTATGAAATGCTTATAGAATTTAACTGCCAGTTGAAATGGAAAAGCATCAAATTAGTTATTACAGCAACTGTAGAAAAGCATTAAACTCAGCTAAGCAGAGCCTGATTGCTATATTTATATCGCCATTATCTACAGCCCAACACGAACTCTTATCCATTTCTTATAAATTAGTTTGAAAGACAATACTAGAATTCAGTATGACTCAAACATATTTAGTTATAACTTCATTTGCTTAAGGGTTAATAAAAATCCGACTTATCACGATATTGCATTTAATACCAGAATTTACGATGATTCAATCATCTTTTGTTTTTTATTCCATTTGAATAAAGCTTAATATATACTTTATATACAATAATCTCTTCACTTTCAACAGTGAGTACCCTTAACAGATTTATTTCGTAAACAACTCTTCTACGTAGAAAGCGTATGGCGTGTTGTTCAGATTGACTGAACTTGTTAGCTTTACGTCGTTGTATGACGTTAAAGTGCGCTACAGGCTGAGAGCATTTCAAAGGCTCACATAAATAGTCGCTGGCCTCGGGCTAGGTAAGCTCAGTGTAGCATCTCAAATTCGCTGCAATTTAAGCAACTTAGTTGCAGTTTTTGTCGCTGCATCCAACGGCAAAACGAGACGCAGAAAGTTCAAGCAGCAGCAGGAGCAGGAGCAGGAGTAGCAGCAGGAGCAGCTGGCAATGCTGCCGCAAGCGCAATCATAAGCCAACACCTAAGCACGTCAACAACTCTGGCAGTCCCCAGGTACCCCTTGCTGCCCGATGCTGCTGCCTCCTGTTGCTCCTGCTACTGCTGCTGCTGCTAACGCTATTTAGTGTAAGAGCAAGCGAAACTTCTTGCAGCTACTACAAGTAAAACTAAAATTTGCCAGATCATTGCTTCCGCTACGTGTAAGGATTCACTGAGGCTGCAGCCGAGGCTAAGGATGCAGTAGCTTGGCACAGATTTCATAGTCGTGGCCACGGATGTGCTGTGCTGCATACATAAGCGGCTGCTGCTTTTTTGGCCAACTGCAATGTAATGCTGTAATGCATATGGTACGGCAACAGCAGCCCATGTTGTGATTGTCACCAGTAAAAAGCTTGTGCTCGTGTACAACTTTCCAGGGCCAAGCTTGTGTTTGTAGTCCTGGCTTAGGGGCCTTTAAGCCATATGGCAAGGCGCAAGTTTGGCCAAATTAAATGTTAATTAAATTTTAAACAGGACATGCAAGGGCCACTTGCCTGCTGCACAGCAACTGTTGGAATTCGCTTATCATACCCTGTGAAAACTCCTTAAAAAAGTTCCAAAGAGAGGGGCCTCAACTAGCAGAAAAGCATTCTATTCTCATTTTCCTCATTAAATACAAAATAAACGATTTAGATATATACAGACATTCCAGTATAAAATCCCAGCTTAATATAACTGGCCTCCGGATTCTATTGGGAGGAATAAGAGTGAGGATTACAAGGGTTTCGCACAGTCGAGCATTTCAACTTGGCTCTCCTGCTTCCTCACCATGTCTCTCTCTCTCTCAAAAACTACTGTTTTTTAGCAGTGCAACTCGCTTTGAAAATAAAGTTAAATAAAGTTAAAATACAATTTCTGCACGGATTGCCACTTTACAGCTGGCAAAGCTGGCAGCGATAATCAGAGAATACAGCTTATAGTAGCTACGGCACAAATACGAGCTGCTTGCTCCTTGAGCGTAAATTGCATGGCTCCGGCACAGTCGGAGTGAGAATCAGAATCCGAATCAGAATGGGAATGAGAATCTGAATCGGAGCCGGAGTGGAGGCCCGAAGCACACAAAGCCAACCACTCAGGCGGCTAAAGTATGGGCTAAGGGTAGCTCACTGAAAGGCAAAAGCCAAGTCACTCAGGCAAGCAAGCAGTTGGCAGCAAACATCGACCAAAAGCCAGTGACCAGCTGCAACTGCACCTGCAACTACGGCTGAAACTAGAGGAGTTGCAGAGGAGTCCGGCTTCAGTTATTGAGGCAGTATAAAGCAGCAAAGCAATGAATGGTTAATCAAGCAACCGGCCTGAACTGTTTTTGGCTTCACTTTGCACTTTACAGCTGCACTTGCTCGAGTGGAAAGAGGCCAGTAACTCCCATTTCGCAAATGTATAGAAATATATCTATATATCTACATTGAGCTAAACGCGCATTAACCAAACGCATATTACAAGCATAGTAAGCAGAGCAGAGAATGGGATTCCTGTGGACACAGCCACGCCTAAAAGGATTTGTATTTATATACGACAGCAGACGGAGGCATAGACCAGTCCTGGCCAGACACTGCTCAGTATCGATGTTACTTGAGCTGGTAATTCCAACAATTTACTGTAACATAGCTTAATTGGCTAAAATCCTCTCCTGATAACTAAGAATAAATCTATTTTTATACTTATTAATTTATACTTTATTAATTTAACCGCCGATCACACTTGAGTTGAAAAACGTCCATTCTGTGATTACGCTAATCACAATAAAAACATAAACAAACCAGATTGTAATGATGAGACTCTAACAGAGGTCCAAATATCTCTCTCGAGCAGTACAACAGGATGCATAACCATGGTGTAAACGTTCAATGAAAACTATTGGAAATACTAAATCGAACCAAATCAAAGCCTTTAAATGTGTAGCTGTGTCTTGGGTTTTTCTTTATCCTAATCTGTAAATTGAATTAGATATTTTAGTCGATTAAACAACGTTCAAAATTTTAAATGTAATATACGTACCTAATGTAGATATGTAATATATTCGTAGGCAACATTTTCTTTACTAATTTTTTATAAAAAACTGAAACGATGTCACTTTGGGTGCTACAGAGCAGAAACTGAATATAATAAACACAAGCTTCGTATACGAATATATAGTTTATACACCAAAGCCTACTGAGTAATGTTAATTTTGTAAAAATATTCTTCTATAGCTTTGCAAATTAATATGTTAATGTATTATTTGTATGTAAGCTTATTCTATGGCTTTACATAATGCTGAGACTTACTAAGAATTCTGCATGCATATATAAGTCAACAGCTAATTATTGGTGATTTCTATGCCTCTTACGGGCGTAGCATGTCAGAGAAAGACTAGAATTTTCTAACGTCATATTAAACCTTATCCACACATAGACATCTAACTGATATGGTCCATCCCCACTTTAAGCTATCTATGGATAAAAACATTTAACTGTTTTTTAACGAATGCAATATTCTCCGTTGATTTCTGTGCAGTTTTTGCACGCGTTTTGCTGAATAGCTGATAAATATATTTAGCAACTCTCAGGGCTTTTAATATCCGGTCGGCCCAAAAGTATGCAGTGGCAACAACAACAACAAATGCAGCGCAAAGCCAGCGGCCATTGACTGCGACGCGAACGTGGCCGCGACCGCCATTGTCATTTGCTGGGGCAATGTCAGAGACGCAGGCCGCAAAAACAAACTGCCGGCACCAGCGACAACAACAACAACAACAATAGCAACAGCAACAAAATACCACAAAAAACACTCGCAATCACACATACATGCACATAGCTGACGAGTGTGAGCGGCCAAACAGCAAATAACAAAAAGCACACGGCAAAACACTCAACCAACATCCATACCAACAAGAACAGCAACAACAGCAACAACAACAACAACGAAAACGGGAGAGAATCAGGCAGCAGCAGCCGTCAGCCAACAGCGAGCAAAGTAATTTTAATTAAAACTTATGGCAACGTCTGCGAGTGAGTAAAACACGGCGAAACGAGTTGATAAAAGCGCTCACAAACACACACACTCACACAGACACACTTAAATACAACTACAGCAAAGCTCACAAATACCAACATACTGAGCTCGCACATAGAAGCTCAAGGCCCCGTTGGCTTAAACGAGGTAATTAAAAAAGCGTAAGCACCTTCATTCCCAGCCAACAGCGTCGATTCCCCGATCCCATACCTTATATGAACCCTTCTTCCCGTCGCCCACGTCCAGGTTTTTTCTATATCTCTCTCCCGCCTTCTCTCTCCGTGTAATTTCCATTTTATTTTATGCGCGCGTTTTTGTTTGCTGCACTCCTTTTTTTATTCTTTTGCTATTTACCTTTGTTGTTTTGTTATTTTCCTTTATTTCTATTTTTTGCTGTGCTTTTGTTTGTTTGCCTTTAAGCCGGCGCCGTAATCTGATATTACGTATACGATGTGAGCGCCAGATATTTAATAGAAATTCAACGTTTTCATGCTTGACAGCCAATAAAAACTGGAATTTACCTTTAGTTTCTGCTTTTCTCGTTGTTTTGCATTATTTATCCTCCTTTTTAACAGATAGTTAAGCTGTCGTGGGGCTGGGACTGCAGCAGACAAAAGGGTTGGCTTCTATTTATCAGCTCCGTTTTGTGTGCACATAATAAATCGAGATGTATTATTTGTTTTGTATATAGGGACGAATAGGCATGTGATTTGCACCCAATTAAGCGCACTAATTAATTCACATGAATTATCAATCAGAATCGAATAGAGTTATGCACTCACATATAAGGATATACATATATGCAAGAGATGATTAAGCATAACAATATTTAATATTACATAAATATCAATATATAATAATATATAAATATAATCTGTTGTTTTTAATTGCTAGAACTACCAGCTCAACTAAAATCACTGTGCGTGTGCCTCTGTCTGCTCTTGCATTACTGAGAAATCATTCTAATCTCGACATGCTACGCGACCTGCAACGCCCATAGAAACCTTAAGGGTGGACCAATTACTAGCTGTTGACTTATATACATAAGTTTTGGTGATTTCAAGATAATGATATTGCTTTGAAAAGCTATAGTAAAAAATTGTTTCTCTGTTACTATGCCTTAGTAAGCTTTGGCGTATAAACTATATATTCGTATACGAGGCTTGTGTATAAGATGTTCAGTTTCTGCTCTGTTGCACCCAAAGTGACGTCGTTTCATCTTTATATAAAAAATAAAAAAATAAAAATATAAAAATAAAGAAAATGTTGGCCCCAAATTTGTTACATATCTATTTTAAGCATTACATTTAAAATTGAACGTTGTTTCATCGACTAAAATATCTAAATCAATTTACAATTTGATTTGCTTTGATTTAGCATTTCCAATCATTTTCATTGAAAGTTTACACCATGGCTCTGCGTGAAGTCCTGCTGGAGAGGGACTTTTGGGCCACTGTTAGTGTCTCATCATTACAATCTGATTTTGTTTTTTGTTTTTATTGTGTTTAGTGTAATTACAGAATGGACGAATGGATACATGTCGTGTTTTGAAATGTTCGTATTTCAGTCGGTGCCAAAATAAAATTCCTAGCCATTCTACGAATATATAATAATTTGCTCTACAAATATTAGTAACTCGGAAAATATAGAAATCTGACAATTGTTAGACTATGATATCTTAGAATTTAGCTTTTCTATTTTCTCATGTCAAATGGAGAATTTATAATAGCATTAAAATGCATATTTAAAATTTTCCTTATAAATTGGTGAATTTTATTCTAAATCATATTTTGTAAAAATACAAGAGATTTGGAAAAATGTATTTGAAACGTATGAGGTGCACATGCTTTGGCTGGAATAATGCAGAGCAGTGTTTAACTGGGCGTGACAATTCAATGCCAGTTAGCATCAAAGCGCAGCTTTATGGGCTTTGCCCGCTGCTGACGTCGTCATCATTCAAACAATCAGCGAACTGTAAAGCGACGCGCCCAAACGAGCGGCTCTAAACGCGCATTTCAACGCATGGCTTGGCTTGGCTTGGCTCGGCTCGGCTCGGATCCCCGGCCTAGGGCACGGAGCTAGGGGGCGCGCGGGCCTCTGGCGCTGGCACAGGCGGTGGTCCTGGAGTATATTTGCCACATGCTGATAAGCAGACATAATAATAAAAAATGTATGAGCTGCCTCGCAAGCGGCAGTCATAATAAAATGTGCAAAATAAAATGAAATGGCGAATAACCACAGAGTGGGGGCAACCGCACGACGAACAGGACCAGGACGGCGGCAACGGATGTGCGCCAAAAGCAGCAGCGGAAACGTTGCACAATTTTGCGGCGACAAAGCGACGCGGGCACAACAACTGAGAGAGGCAGACAGAAAGAGAGAGAGAGAGAGTGGGATAAGGATAGAGCGAGAAAAGAGAGCCCGACATAATGAAGTCAAAAGTTGGCCAAAGAGCTCTGAACGTTTTGCTAATGAGAGCTTTGAAAGGCGACAGTGATTATCAGGTTTGGGCTTAAAGTTTATCCGTCTAAAGCGAAAACACAGTTTGAAATTCTCTTCCAACTGCATTCCGCAAATCATAAACTAAGTTTAGAGAAAGAGAGGGAGAGATAGAGAGAGAGAGAGCTAAGCTGCAAAGACATCAATAATAGCTAGAGCGAAAAATATTTGTTGTTGCTGTTGCTGTTGTTGTTGTCGTTGTTGATATTTCTCGACCCAAGGCAGCACATTCATAGCCTTGGCCATTAAGAACCTTCATAAATTTCTGAGAGTGTAGCAGAACAGCGCTCAGCGGCGTCTGTTTTTGATTGATACTTGACGGCGGCAGCGACGCGACGGCCGCAGCAGCGTCGACTGCGTCGCCAAAATGTGCAGAGGAAGCGTTGAAGTTGATATTGGAGTCGATGGTACGTTGCTGTTGTTTGTTTGCGTTGCCAGTGTTATCGTTGTTGTTGCGGTTGTCATTGTTGTTGTTGCTGCTGCTGGCATAAGCAACACAATTTAATAATAGATTCATTACCCACACAGATATAATATTAGCAGCTCCCCACGCGTCGACACTCAGACACATATGCTCCTCGGGCGACGCGTCGCCTGTCACCATGGATAGCAAAATATATGGCCAAGCGTTTTTCCCACGAAATTGAAGGGATGCCCCAGCTTTATGCGTGGCATTATGGCCGTGCAGAATAAGTGTCTCTATGAGGAATATAATAAATTGAATATATTTTCATCAGCAATAACAGCAAACAAACTCATCAGCAGCAACAACAATATCATATCAATGAAAACATCATGTTAACAAAATGGCTGCGAATGCCGCCCGAAAATGCTGGCAATAAAACTAATAGAGATTGGCGGAGGGTCTCGCAATGGGGCGACAAGTGTTATGTTGTTGTAAACAAATAACAAGGGAGAATTGTCGAAACGGGCTCCAATAAGCGAGCGTAAGCAACAAATTCTGTAAAAAACGACTTTCGTAAAAAATCTATTTCGCCCAAGGAGCAGAGATGCACATACATACATACATACAAATACACATACAAACGGACGGACGGAGAAATGGACTGATACAATGTAGAACTTAGCGTAGATAAATTAATATTTATTTGATCCCTTGAAAATGGGAAATGATAACATATATAATATATAGAAAGACACTATCAAATATATAAAAGCTGATAATGAAGTCTATATAGTCCTGTTCATCTGTCAGTCTGTCTTATGTCCACCCACCCGTATATGAGCTAAAGAACTGTAATGCAAATGTAATTTATGAATATTTAATTATTTAATAATATCTTATATATGCTTGGATTTAATGTAACAAAATTTTAATTTAACTGCTGGTGTATTTCATACAATATTCATTTAAAAACAACTTCTTTTTATTTTTTTAAATTTTATTTTTAAAAAATATTTTTAACAAAAAAACATATTAATAATAATAATAAATGCCTATAAAACTATATATATTTCAATTTAGAAATATGGAAAAGGTTTGCATTTGTACTACATTGAAGCATATTTTATGGAATACGCAGACCATATACTGATTTCATTGAAAAGTTACAAGTTTTCCAATAAAACAGTTAATAACTACATGCGTATTTGCTTTTCGGAAAAGCGATACTTATATTTATTTTTTTTTATCCCCTTTTTTCCAGGAAAGGATTCTCATTCTCGACACACAGTACTTTTCCATTGCCATAAAATATGAAAATTCCCCTCAG